CGGAAGAGTTATACACTTGATGTAAAACACCACATTGTGCCTTTTACAGCAAAAGTTTTAGATTTAGAATCATAGAATCATTTAGGCTGGAAAAGACCTCTAAGATACCTGGTCTAACCTTTAACCTAGCACAGACAAGCCCACCATGTCCCTAAGCAAGCCCCACGTCCCTAAGCTCTACATACACACATTTTTTGAAGACCTGCAGGGATGGTGACTCAACTGCTTCCCTGGGTAGCCTGTTCCAATACTTCACAGCCTTTTCAGTAATGATTTTTTTTTCCTAATAACCAACCTAGACTTCCCCTGGCGCAAACTTGAGGCCATTTAAAACAAATTTCATAGACAGGAATGCCATAACCTATGTAACAATGCCAATGTTGTTCTGTACTTGAAAGCACAGGCAAAAAAGAAAAGGCATGTTGCTGGAAGTTAGAAGTGAATACTTAAACTTATTGTAAGACATTTTAAGATACAAATTTTAAGCAGTAATCAAACGGATCAATCATTGTGGGTCCTGCTAGGTATAAGTTACCTGAATTTTATCATTCACAGAATAAAATAATTTATACAGTTAAGAGAAAAGGTTTAGAATGCTATAGAAGCTATAATCCTATTTCTCCCATATGTAAGCTTTTACGTCAAAATACAGACTTTACATTACCTAAAGTACAGAGAAAAGAAAATGAAACTTTAGGCATAAGAAACTGTCACAAAGTACCTACAGCATATTTTGAGTGCTACTACTTGTGTAATAAATGATCTAAGAAGCATATGTGTAACAAATGAACCTTCTTAGTCTATTTTTCCTTTTTTTCCCCAGCATCATTAAAATTATATCGTAACAGAAATTTAGAAGTGTCTTTTGATGATTAATTTGGAAAAAGACAAACATTTATTAAAACAAAAAATGAATCTCACTGTATTTAAAAAAAAAAAAAAAAGAGGAATTCTTTAGTTTCTGGAAAGGGGTGTCTGAGAACAGCAGGAGGATGGGGCTGGCTCAATCTCCTGTGCCTGGCACTCCTGGATGCACGGTCCCACTACAACTGGCTTGGTTTTGGCCAGTTCCCTTCCAAGCTACCTTTGCTCTACAAAAACACTTGCTGCAGAATTAAAGCAATTGGAGCCTACAGCCAAGAAATGGGAGGGCAAGAAATGAATGTGGTGAGGGAAAAGAACAGGACCATAGCAAGGTATTTCATTAGCTCACTGAGTCTTATGAAAACATACCTGTATAGCTCTAGGCCCTTAGTACACAATATCCACACAGCTGACCTCATTCTGAATCTTGCTACAAAGACATTTATGAGACATGCTATAGCATTTCCTCCTGCCACTTAACTGGAAAAAGAAAAACAACTACACATCTCCCAACTCTAATGTCTCTAATTCTTCCAGCCTTTTCCCCTATTTCATCACTTATTGTTTTCTGCTGTTCTTTCTTATTTACATCCTGAAGGAAGTAAACACAGGTGCAGCACCTAGTAAAGCAGAGTTGACTTTTTTTTTTTGCACACATCCCCTGAATGAACATTTCAGTCACATCATTTATCATGACAGGAGATACCTGTAATTGAAATATGCAGTTCCTAAAACCAGCGTAAAGAAATGTTAACCCATGCTGGATTTACACATTACCACAACAGCATGCAAGCAAATCTTTTAGATCAAGTATCGAGAAATAAAATACCTTATCAATGATACTGTCGATTTTTCCTTCTTCTACAGACTTCTTTATGGTCTGTGCTGTTTCAGCAACGGATTCAGATATCTTTTTTGTGGCAGCAGTGGCGAAATTGAAGAGGTAACCTTTCACAGATGAAAAGAACAAGAGCTGAGAAAAGGCATCTTTACATCCAGTTCTCACACTAAAATCACATTTCTAGGTATTAATTTGGATGCCTACTTGAAGTCTTCTTCCAAAATCATTTAACCCAGCTCTGACCTCCAAAGAACTCCTAAAATCCTATTTTTATCCCATTCTAGTTCACACGTTCTCTAGTGACAATGATCAAACCATGTTTGATCAATTTTTTTTTTTTTGTAAAACAAATTGTTATACTTGAATGTTGATTACCAAATCAAACACTCCCAATAGCTCTCGATACACTGCTTTCCAATCAATATTCTGAAACAATAGCTTTCATAATTTCACTTCAGCATTTCTGAGACCTTAAGCAATGAAGTAACTCTAGCAACAGTATTAAAACAATTATATGTTTTAGAATATCAACACGCACAATAAAGTCTGATGAAGTGAGAGAAGTAAATGCATGAAAAAATCTTGGTAAGTAACACTTGACATTCCTTCACAATTCCTTCACAATTCTTAAGACTGAAGCTTGCTCTTGCTGCTTGCCCTTTTCTATTTCCCACTGTGGTGTTCTTCTAGCTCTGTTAGAAACAGTGTGACAATGTTTATTTTTCTAAGTATGTTCAGTGGGAGAACAGCTACAACAATTACTTTAAAAAATAACTAGCATTTTTTTATATGGGCAGTGCTGAAGGGAAGAAAGGTGGCAGGGAAGGAACTATGTAGCACAGGCAGCTGCCTTGTATTGTCAGCTTCCAATTAAAGCAGTCAGAACAAAGGCAAGCAGCAAGAGCTCTACCAGCAACCTTCAGAAAGATTAAATAGCAGTTTATTGACAGAGGATCTTAAAAACAACGTTGACACTGTTTATTTCTCAGATAATTACACAATGTCACAAACACTTTATTACGCTTAATCAGATCTATTATTACCGTAATATCACTGCTACGGTATTTACAATGCCAGTAAGTGCCATAGTAAATAATATAATTCTAGGGTTAGGAGGAGGGAAGAAGTAATCGTGGACCTAAATTGCATGGTAGCTACCGAAGTTACATTTGAGGCATTAGTAAGAACACAAAGCACGTGGGACAAAAAGGTCTTTCAGTTATCCGGAACTGACCTGCACCTTTATACATGGGGCTTTCAAAACCAAACATCACTTCTGTTTGAAAGAAACAAATGAAAAAACACCTTTGTTTTCACAAAAATTCAAGTTGCTTATCAGTTAGAAATGTAACAAATAACCTTAGCATGTGAAAAAAAAATATTGTTTTAACACATGGTTGCTCACCACTGGTAGAATGAGTTACTTTGGAACATTCATGTCAAGTTCTGGAAAGCTGACTGTTGTTCTCTGAAGCACATGAAACATTCTCTCTTCATGATACCACCGATTTAATACTGAAAAACGGAGAGGCCCAGCCAGCCCTTAAGCCAGCCAGGTTTTTTCATACACAACTTCCTTCTGCAAGGCACAGAATGCTGGCAACCAAACTTCCTGCAACTACTTGCCTTTATCTTTGCTATCTGTTATCAGGCTTTACATCCCATCACACGCTTCGTAAAACAAACACCTATCTTCTACCCTTCATATAGAGAGAAGTACAGTATCCCTCTTGGGACAGTAGAGGAAGCAGCCACCTACTGGATTGTTTCCTCCTGACAAGCTTTTATTGGTTATTTGATGCATCCAGGGAAGCTTCCTTTGCAATGCAATTGTTTTGCATTTGATGTGCAATTGATTTAAGTGCAAAGGACTCTGAAACAATTGCTGCCCGGCAACTTTTTGTTAGTGTTGAGCAAAGGGCTTTTGGCCAGTCCTGAAAGCAGTCTGAAGAGCAAATTTTTTTTTTCTTTCCATTAAGGATGGATGTTCTTCCAATGCCAAGGCACTTATAAAACTCCTGTACGAGGTGGTACTTAACCTTGGAATGGAATTAGTAGTGGAAAAACACTTTGACTTTCAAATGAAGGAGAAAGTTTCGGTTCCTCTTACAAATCTATGCCTGCATTAGGAATAGATACCTAACAATATTCTTATTATTAGTTTGGAATAACAATTTATCCTAACCTAACGACATAATAAGCACAAAAAAAAAAAAGAACAAATATAAGGCTTCAGTTTTAGCAATAGAATACTTTTTAAGTGCTAAGGGAGTCTTACAACTACCTTGGTCATTAGTCATGCAAATATTTCTATGGTTATCACGTGTTACAGTAGTGACGTCCAAGTTCTTACAAAAGGACCTTTCCATGACAGACTTTTCTGGTATCACAGGGAATGTATGCGTGGCTCTATTTACCAAAGTTTCTTTATCAGAGCAAATTATAGGATGGACGTTTTCATCCATAACACTCAATACTTATTCTTCTGAAAATTCAAAGTATTTTTGCCTCCTGGATGATCAGAGAGGACAGCAGATTAAGATTTATTTACAACCACCACCGGACAAGCACCTGACCAAAGCACACAGGTAACTTGCTGCGTTTCAGCAACCCAAGACAAGCACATTAAAGCAACTCCTCAGACCAATGCGACAGAAGATCTGGGCACCAGTGAGAACCCCCTTGCCTGCAGGGCTGTGTTTTGGAGGCATTTTACTTAATAATCTACAACAGCAGCGCAGAATCCTAGCCTACAGCCCTACCTCGCTAGGGATAAGCTCCCCAAAATCATCAAAAAGGCATTATTTTCCTAGAAATGTTGACAGAAACCTATATGCACCAGTGCTCCTGCAGCAACAGCAGGACCAGCGGCTAAGCAGGCCGCGTTTGGGCACCGGGTGGGGGTTTACCCCCAGCCCCGGCCCCGGCAGGGCGGACACTCACTGCCGAGTCCCTTGGCCTGGCTGAGGAGCGCCTCGGAGTCCGCCCGCTCCTGGCTCCGCGCGGCTTCATCCTCCTCCTCCTCCTCCTCCCGCTCCTTCTTCTGCTGCTCCTCCTCCTCCTCAGCGGGGCCGCCGCCCTCCTCAGCCGGCAGCAGCCGCTTCTCCTCAGCCGCCCGCTCCAGCCCCAGCCAGCTGCCCAGCCCCCGCAACATGGCGGCCGGCCGCTCAACGGCGGTTAACGGCAGCACCCCACCACCCAACGGCCGACCCCTCGCGCTCCTTCCGCGTACGTCACTTCCGCCTAGGGCGTGGCCTGGAGGCGGGGCGGGGCTCACAAGCCCGGCCGCGCCCCCCCCCGCCCCCTCAAATTTCACGTGCGCGTGCGCGCGCCTCGCGTGGACGCCGCGCGGAAAGGTAACGGCCGCGGCGCGAGCCTGCGCCTACCCGGGGGGAGGGGCCCCAACGGCCGCCCCCCAACGGCCGCTCTCCGCCGCGCCTGAGGGGAGGTGTGTGTGGGGGGGCTGCTGAGGGGGTCCCGGTTGCCGGTGCCCCCAGCCGGGCCCTGCCCGTCCCGCCCCGCCCCGGGGCTCTGCGCTTTGTGTGGGAGCGGGGCGAGCTGGCAGGGAGGTGGTGGGCTTCGTCGGCCCTCAGGGACACGGCGGCGGCGTCTGGAGCTGCTGGTGGAGCCTCTCCCTCTCTTTCTTTCCATCTCTTTTTTTTTTCTTTTCTTTCTATAAACAGCTTTGACTTAAGACGGTTATGACATGTTAACGCTGGCAATTCCTTTAGCTGAATTACGAAGAGTCTGAAGCAAAGTGTTTCCAAACCTTAAGATCTCTGCTATTTAAAAAAAAATAAAAAAACTGCCTATTAAAATTAAATCACAGGGAAAATTTATTTCCTAATTACGCGGATTAGGGTTTGTTTTCCTGCGGGGCGCGCTTTCCTCCTCTGTGGGTCTTTAAAATTTGTCCTAACTGCAGTCTGGTTTGGCTCGTTTCAGTAAACAAATTGTGCATGTTTTTCATTTCGTGGTTTGCTTTGTATTGCTCTGCAGTTGTTTTATTGGCATGTTTGCAGGTGGTGAGGGGGAAGGTAAGGAAACTTTCTCTCCCTGCATTAGTGTTTGCAGTGTGTCTCAGCCTTGAGTAAATTCCAAGGGTCCCTTTCTCCTGAGTTAAGTGCGTTTGATGGCTACAGTCTCCCTTTTGTCCACAGAGACGCAGAAGTGATGCTTTATTATTTGCTATTAGTTCTAAGAACATTGATAACAACATTGTTACCTCCTTGAACTCTGTCTCTTGAAGCTGTAGACCATATTTATTTATGTTACTTAATAACCTAATGGGAGGAGCTACGACACTCATTCACAAGCTGCTGCTTACTACCAGTGTGTGGAGAACTGTGCTGCTTTTGTTTGTTGTAAGCACTGTTAGACCATGTGCTGTTACATGTTGTGTTGAACAAATTAAGTACGTAGGTAAGGAAGGATGATTCTTGACCCTAAAATAGTTGCTCTGTGGCAAAATGTTCGAGCATTAATCCAAGGATTAGCCCCTACATCTGCCTGAATGTAACGTAAGTGCAGTTATAAATAAGACATGTTCAACATCTGCTGGTTTCAGGTGGGGTGAGGAGATGGCAGTAAAATCTATGCTTGTGTGAAAGCCAGAAGAAGCAGGAGTATAGGAGGGACAGCGTCAGCAGCACATGATGAGAATACCAGATTATCGCAACAAGAAGGAGGATGAATAACAATAATTAGGATTGTAATTATCTAAATTTTTCATCAAAAGACCTTGTGTTTTTGTAATAGTTCTGGGTCTGTTACCATCCACATTTGTCTTGCTCCCATGTAGGCATTCATATATTTCTGTGGTCTGTCTTAGTCTTGTCCTAAGTGCAAGTCCTTCTGGAGTAAAGTTCTCCAGCTCTAAAATTTTTATTTTTTTTCCTCTCACTAGTTACTTGGAGAAGGAGAGTGAGCGGGTAGACATGTGAAGAAAGGCTTCTAGACTCACGATTAAGAATGTGCTATTGTGTAAATATGGATGTTTTGGTTCAGTTTTTATTTCTTGCTCTCATGTTCCATTGTTCCGTAGGATATTGTAAGACCTTTGGTGATACACTTGATACAATGTGAATTGGAGAGGGGAAATCTGCTGAAAAATAGAGCAGATGGTATAGCACTCTGACTTTAATATGTATGGTTAGCTTTAATATGTTTGATTAGCAGTCAGAATTTTTGGAAGGTAAATCAGCTGGAGAGAGAATGTGACACTGTGTTCTGGCTGATGTAGCAAGGAACAATCTTTGAGCTAACTTCTCAACACAAATTAAATTATTAATTTATTTAATTTAGAAAGAACCCAGGGTGAGATTCGTCTTCACAGAACGGCCGAGGTTGGAGGGGCCTTCTGAAGATCATCTAGTCCAACACCCCTGCTGAGCAGGATCACCTAGAGCACGTTGTGCAGGATGGCATCCAGGCGGGTTTTGAATATCTCCAGAGAAGGAGACTCCACAGCCTCTCTGGGCAACCTGTTCCTGTGCTCTGTCACCCTTCACAGTAAAGTAGTGCCCACTCATATTCAGATGGAGCCTCCTGTGCTTCAGTTTGTGCCCGTTGCCTCTTGTCCTGTCACTGGGCACAACTGAAAAGAAACCGGCTCCATCGTCTCCACACCCTCCCCTCAGATATTTGTACACATTGATGAAGTCTTCGCCTCAGTCTTCTCTTTTCCAGGCTAAACAGGCCCAGCTCTCTCAGCCTGTCCTTTTGCCTAACTTGTGGTTCTTGCCTAATTTGTGGTTACAAAAGATGTCTATTTCTGGCTGGCTATTCCTGTCATAGTAGAGAAATAGGTCAGATGAACAGGTCTTTGGCATCTCTACAGGGCAGTGCATCAAAATGGTGCTTCTTTTCCTACTGGCTGTGGAGAGGACTTACGCATATAGTTTAAATATGGGTGTATAAGGTGGGAGGGATTGATCCTGCTCCCAGATTCTAAAATGGTCATTTTGTTGTCAGTTCGTGATGGTCATTTCAACTTTGATTCTTGCATACTGAGACTGTGTTCTTCCATGGCATGAATTTGCATTATGTAAACGTACCTCTTTGTCATTTTAGATTTCCACCTGGAGATCTGTGTTCTTGTGCTGATTTTCCGATGAAGTACATCCTGGTAACTGGTGGTGTCATCTCAGGCATTGGCAAAGGGATCATCGCAAGCAGCATTGGCACCATACTGAAATCATGTGGTCTGCGTGTCACGGCAATCAAAATTGATCCTTACATAAACATAGATGCTGGAACATTTTCACCATATGAGCATGGTATGCAGGATGGTGCTGTTACCTTTTGCGTAAATTTTGTATTCATAATCATGCTTTTTTGTTTATTTTCTTTGAAAAACAGTACTATGGTAGTTATTAGTCATTTTACCACCTATTTGGCAATGCAAGTTTGTTCCGTACTGCATATTCTTAAGGACATTGTCTGCTAAGTAGAGAGAGGTGAAGCCTGGTTGGTGAAGATACTTTGAAGAGTAGCTGCTTACTTTCTATGAAATTCTGCTTTGTTGGGAAAAATCCTAGCTGTTGGCCTTATTTAGTCTATGCTATCTTCATTTCAACTGGATAAAAAATCAGAATGGTACCGCAAAACTTATTAGAAACTGTTTTCCTGGACGTTTCCTTGTGAATGCTCTTACTGGGATGTCAGGTGTCAGTGTCCCTAGTGTGAATGTCTTCATGAGAGTTAGATTAAGCTCTCATTTTTGACAATGAGGATCTAGTCAAAACAATCAGTGGAGCTCAGAGAGCTGACTGTCATGTCATTTTAAAGTAGATGCTTAGGTTGCTTGGTTCTCTTCATTGCTGATGAGCTGCAAGACACTCTGATGGGCATTTATAATGTCGAACATTACTTCATCTATCATGCGTATTACTTTTGGTGGTAAGACTCCTGCAATGACTTGAGATTGTGAGGGTGTATTCCTTCTGTGGATCACATATAACGGACAAGAGGGCAAATGTGGTATACAATTCCCTTATTACTTGTTTTTCCTCTGTTTGCAGAAGAATTTTTATAATGCTTCTGAAAAAAAAAACAAACAACAAAACAAAAACAGACAAACAAACCACGCAGGGTGGTGGGGTAGTAAGTAGAAGATCATACCAAGCCAAAGTGGCAAGCCTCTTTTATTAACGTTTTGGGGGAAATCTGATTGAATCAAAGGATTATAATTTAGAGATTTCCACTTAGAGCTATCTTTTTTTTTTCATAATACATTTTTTATTCCCCAAAGGCCTGCTTTTGAGAAATGTCAGTTCCACTCTGCGTCTGTTGGCTTTAATAGTAAATTAGTGGTTAAAAAAAGGAACTCATTGCCTCATGGGATCAGGCATAAATCTTCCTCTCTGTTGCATGCATTATGGTGTTTTGCTTTTGTGTTTGTTAAACTGCTCATTGGATTGTGGTATCTAGGTGGGATGTATATTTTCATAGTCTACAGCATTCCCCTACCATCAGGGGAATTATTTTTCTCTTGTGCAGAGTTTTCCAGCTTTACCCTAGCATCTAGCAAATTTAGATCCTTCAGAGGTTGATGGGCTTCAGAATTATTTAGAGACTCTTTGCTTTAAGAGAAATCTGAACCCTGAAGAATATTTTCATTAGATTTTTCAGAGTCAGAAATAACCCTTGCTGTGGGCATAGTGAACTGAATATATGAGATTAAACAACTGAACAATAAATAGTTACCACACTTGAATAAGCATTTACGTACATCATAACTTCACTCCTGATCCAAGCCTTAATCATTAAAATAGTTCCATACAACAAGAATTTATAGTGAAACACTTTGAAAGTGGGTGATATTTCATGCTTATAAAAGCACAGCTTTTGTCTGCCATATGTAAATTGATGTTTTATTTATTACTTATTTATGATTCCTGAAATTACTGTCTTCTGACTTTCTTAGGGATTGTAGCATGATGTTGAAATATGGGTTAAATATTTTTAAGTCACTTAAATAATATTTTTGGCAATATAACTTACATTCACTTTCAAAACTATTAGTGACTGAGGGGTAGACGTTCAGTGTAGAAGTAATGACTTGGATATTAAGACACAATGACAACACAGGTCTAGTTGCAGCATGTACTTTATTGGTATGTCATTGCAATGTATCTTTTAAAAGAAATGTTTCTTCAATTTGAAGATATGTTTGCGGTACACCTACGTGTTTAATAACTTGTGATTATTTTATTGCTTTTCTGTAATGATTTTCATCCTAAACTTTCCTATGTTTTTTTTTCACTTTCTTTTTTTCAGGTGAAGTTTTTGTACTGAACGATGGTGGAGAAGTTGACTTAGATTTAGGAAATTATGAGAGATTCTTGGACATTAATCTCTATAAAGATAACAATATCACCACTGGAAAGATATATCAGCATGTTATCAATAAGGAAAGACATGGTGATTATCTGGGAAAGACTGTTCAAGGTAGGATTTTAAATTCTGTGGTATACTAATCCACTCAGACTTTATAAAAATAGAGTGGGAAAAACAAGCTGTTTCTTGCTGCATCAGCTTATTCCTCTCTCCTTCCTAGGAAATCTGGGAATATTTCTGTAATGGGCTTCTGGGTTCAAGGAAATAAGGAGTATAAACAAAAGAGGTTGTTTCCTTTTGACTTCCTGCTTGTTTTTCCCTCCTTGCATGCAAAAACTGGTATATGTACATTCGAGATGTGCTTGCCTTAATGCTTTTACTTTGTCTTATAGTTGTTCCACACATCACTGATGCAGTTCAAGAATGGGTAATGAATCAGGCAAAAGTTCCTGTGGATGATGACAGAAAAGAGCCACAAATCTGTGTAATTGAGGCAAGTATAGAGTATTTTAGGATCTATATCCATAGTGAGCACAAAGAGCTAGCTTGCTTTGTCTTTTATATTTACTGTAAAAAAAAAAATCAGACTGAAGTTTTATGGTGAGCAATAATACAAAACATGTTTTGTATTCTTTATAATTTGTTCTGCCAATGATAAGCATGGTCTTATTCCTGTACAGTTTCTGTTAACTTGACTAAATCCCTTCCAGAATACTGCTGAAATGGAGTTGCTTAAGAGTTTATTAATTTATAAAATTTAGACAGTCAATTATTGTAACTAGAAGTATCTCTTCCAGGTTACAGACATTTGACTGAAGCTGCATACTGTTCATAGCATTGAGAAAAAGGGTAATACCTGAAACACCCACAGCCAGTAGGAGAGCCTGTAGCATTCTAGCTTTCTGCATGACTTCAAATGCTCCACATTGTTGCTTGTAGAATATTTGCAGGGATATACTTAAACATTGTATAAGTTAGTTTCCCTCTTTCTGTTTATATATTTAAGATCTCTGGAAGTAACTTTGTTAATCGTTTAACCCACTGATGTTCTGCACAATTGAACTAATGATTTTTACCTGTCCTTAGTAGTGCGTGGAGACAACTGAAAGAAAGGCAGTCATTAACTGCTAAGTATTACTATTAGAGCAGAATGTACAGAAGAAGATCACACCTGAGAAGAATGTGTCATAGATTTCATGCCTGAAGCCACAGCTGTAATCAATAGGGTGATAAATTTCAAGACCTAGGCCATCAAGTTGGTCAGGATTTCTTACACAGAAAAGAATACTTTGGTTACAATATAAATATATCTATAGGTCTCTTATGATGTGGACAGTGACTCAAACGCTTCATTTAAAGTAAAAGTAAAAGCAGTAAATATAGAAGTTCGCTCAAGAACATTAATAAGAGATGAGCTTGTCAGTCTTTTAACTTCAAACATAATTTTGTTTCCTCCATGTTAAGTTTTTTTTCTTTTGTTATATCTCTAGCCTCATAAAAATAACTTTACTCTTATAATTCTAATGAATTCTTTTTCCATTGCAAAACTCTGAAGGAGTTAGGCTGAATATGTGTGTCAAGAACAAATGCAGTTGTCAGAAGTTTTTCTGGTAGTGAACACAAACGTGCAGCTCTGTCAGAAGCCACATGGTGGCACAAAAGGATCATTCTGAAACATGCTTTCCAAGACTTCCCTGCTAGACTGTTTTATTCAGTGTTTAGTTTACTACGGCTCTTTATGTCTTTAAAAGACATCTAATTCATGTCTTTAAGTCAGGTTTATCATGGACTTAGTCTTGGACTTTGGGTTGGTAACAGATATTTAAACGTTTATAATATATTATTTGCATTGTTTATATAGCATTTATCAACATTCAAAAGCCATGATAATACTGCTAGATGTTTGTATCTTGTTGGTTCTGACTGCTTATTAATCTGTCAGGAAAATGTATAGCTGAATACCTCTATATAAAAACAGTCACATCAGTCTAACTATTCATTAACTTTTGTTAACTGCTTAGAAGTTAGTGAAAGTACGGTGCTTATTCCATAGCACCATACATCTGCCTATGGGAATCTTATGTGTTTGGTGTAAAGTCAATATAAAGAAACATGCAAATTGTTTTGTTTTCCACAAGAAATATGCAGAATAGATGAGGGCTCTTTGTAGAGCATGCCTGCAAAATTTAGGGTTTCCTAGATAAAAAAAAAAAAAAAAAATCCAATAACTTGTCAAATCTGTAAAAAGTAGACTCTTTAAAAAAAAAAAATAATAATACTTTCTGCCACTGATGGATTCAACCTTTCTTTTTCAGCTGGGAGGAACTATTGGAGACATTGAAGGAATGCCGTTTGTTGAAGCATTTAGACAGTTTCAGTTCAAAGCAAAAAGAGAGAACTTCTGTAACATCCACGTTAGTCTAGTACCACAGGTAAGTTATTAAAATAAACATTTTAATTATTGGCAACTTTTATTCTGTATTGAGTTTTATATTTGTTTACTCCTCTAATTAAAAAGGGATGTTGGAGGTGTTTAGAAACTGAGATGAAAGCCGGTCTCATTTGTGTAAATAAAAGCCTTGTTAATTACTTTATTGATGTGAGAATGTGTTTTAATGTTCTAAGTTATTTAAAAAAAAAAAAAAAGGTTAATAAACACTAATTTATCTGGAAGGCTAAATATGTTTGTGTTTTGCGCTGGAAGGTGCTGGTACACTATGATCCCAGTAGGAAACGTACTCTGCGTCTGTAAGATATTATTTAAAATTGTTTGAGGTAATGCTGAAGGAATGGATAATATAGATAATCTTACATCCCTTCAGGTGGAAAGAACCCCAGATGATGTTGCATTGAACTACATGCAGCATGCTGGGCTGACTCCATCCATAGAAGGGATTCTTCCCTTTTGTTCATTTGAACTTATACGACTTTCTTACAAGGAAACAACTGTCATTTCTGCTGTCAAGCACAAACAATGTTCTCATGAAAAATTGTTGCTGCATTCTTAGATAAAGACAAGGTCAGATAGGTGATCTAAGTTTTGGTACCAAGTGTGAGCTGCTTGCATGCTCTTCTGGTACAATGAGCTGGTTGAGTTTATTCCATGGCTATTTATCCTACAGCCAAGGAATTGGTGCAGAACAACGCTGTCTGAAGGCCAGGCTGGATGTACAGCATAGCTCAGCATAACATAGGTCTGGGTCTACTCAGGTTAACTGTTACGTGGATCACTAACTCCCTGATGTACTGTATTTGAGTCAGGGCCACTACAACTTACTGTATGGGGCTGAAAGTATTTTTCTTTATATTTTACTTCACAAATAGGTTTTATTTTATGAGGTAAGTATTCTCTGGAGAGATCTTGTTAACGCAATGCTGATAATGATGAGATGATCGCACTTTGTATACATTAAAAAGAGAATATTTATCACTGCCTCTAATATTCAGCAGGTTTTATTCTGTGAATTATTTCTGAGCACTGAAGGCTTTGTGCTGTTGGACACTGCATTTATTAGCAAAGTCCAAATTTTGAAATATTCTTCTTCTCTTATCCGAGTCAATTATATTGTAACTTTTACTTTGAAAGACTAACAACAAAATAAACTTGACCTAAATTAGGGCCATGTGCTTCTTCACAGAATTTTTAATGTTTGTAATAGTTGTAGTGCCATTTATTTTTCTGGCACGTTGTGGCTCTGTTTTCATATGCTCGCTTCCTGCAAGTAAGTTAAAAGTGAAAAGTCATTGCAAGTAATAATACAACTTGTCTGCTAATAGATTTTGTTCAATAAAGTTTCTATCTGAGCTCTAAAAATATGTCTTTATAGCCTAATGCCACCGGTGAACAGAAGACAAAACCAACACAGAACAGTGTTCGAGCACTGAGGGGTCTAGGCTTGTCTCCAGATTTGGTGAGTTCATTAGTCAATAAATGCAGTTTTGTTTACAGGTCATCTAGAAATATCTGTGCATAACCAGTGGAAAAAAAAAAGGAGCCTTAGTCTCCCACAAGAGACAAGAAATTTAGAAGAAATGCAACATATATGCGGTACTACTTGACTAAAGACACAGGAAATTACTCCTATTTAAGTTAACATAATCCAAATAGCTCTTAGCAAAATCTTGAGCCTCTATTTATGTTCTTCTAATAGGATCTTTGCGGAAAAATCATTCTGTATTGCTTAAAAATAATCTTAAGTGCACATGTCTCAGTCACTTTGTGGGAAGACCTAGAAGAGCTAGAATGCTTCTGGCTTCTAACATTTTTTTCTCTAGTTTCTTTTTATGCGTGGTTAAGAAGAAGCAATCCTACCTGTGAAGTATAGCCTTTAAAAAGGAAATATGAAACACATGGGTGAATCCTCAAAGTAAGGTTCTTGAATTTTTCTTTTGTTGGACTTGCACCAAGTAGTATAATGAACTCAAAGGAAACATGTTTCATGTTACATGTTGGCAGATGATGACAAATGCTCACCTTCATTTCTCTCTCCCTGATGCCTAGAAATGCGTATGTGCTTATTTCCTGGATGCATTGGTTGCTTCACTGGCACTGTTCCTAGGGAGCAGAGAGGAGACATAAGTTAATTACAGCTCCCTATTGTGATACCTGTATGCCACTGAGTGATGTTAATCTGCTTGCTCAAGTGTTGCTGCTAGCAGCAAAGCCAGGGCAGTGCAGCTTCAAATGCCAACACAACCACAGTTCAAACTTATACTTTGTGTTTTCCTGAGCTGCAGGTAATGCAGCTGAACTGCGTTTCTAGTTCTTCAAGAAAGAAAGAGAATAATTTTTGCTCTTTCATGTGAGGTTGCCTGTCAAGTCAAAGAATATTTTCCATATTTAATTCTGGGAGTCACTGAGCCCTTTCCATTGCCATAAAGTCTGTTGGTAGAAAAAGCTTCCTACCGAACTCTTCTCAGAAATGAAAGAATAGTCACTGGTTCTGTATAATATTTATATCTTCACAAAGGAGGAATGATTCTTAAAAGAATAGTTGCACAACTAGATTCTGTATTGTACTTCTTTCTGTTTTTTTTTCCTCCTTGAACTTTTGCAAGAGGTGACTTTTTGGCTTATGTGCTTTTCTAGTTTCTAGATGTCCTAAGGGCCTCATCTTGTTGCTACTTTCGAAGGGAGAGTACAGCTACTTGAATTAGTGACAGAAATCTGGTGGGAATGGATTTGATTTAAATAAAAAAATGCTTTTATGACACAATTTGCCACATCAAGTGAAAAAATATGAGGTGTGTTAAAAATATTAAAGGTCTTTCCATCCTTTTTCACAAATCCACTTAAAAGTATAACTTAGATTTCATCAGGGTTGGCCTCCTGTAGAGCAAAGTTGTCTTGGGAGAAGCTGACTAAAGCATCCAAAGCAGAGTAAATGAGCAAACTAACGATTAAATGGTGTGGGCAATCTTGGCTCAGAGCAGACTGGCTTAAGCCCTGGCCCAAATACTAATTCAACTGCTAACACAATATGAATGAGAACAAAGAATCTGCCACACACCAGCCTCAACTCCTACTTGAAATAAAACCCCTTTTTTACACTTTGTATTTTCTAATTACAAGATAAAAACAGTTCTGTGTCAATATCTGGTATTCTGATGCAGGGTAACTTTGCATTGATAACATCAATAATGTTTTCCTATGAGGTTGCACAAAAAACTTTTTTTCCTTGAAAATTTCTACAATCACTAACCAGCATTTTAACTGTTAGTAGATAAATGTTGAATGTTTATGTAATGAGAAGAGGTAACCTGTTCTCATTATGAGAATATGTAGATACCTGCCAAGTCATCAACAATTCACAAGGCCATTGATAATGCGTACATCATCAACTGTACTGATGTTTGTACTGTAGGCACAGTTTTCAAATAACTGTATATGAATTGGATAGGAGAGAGCACGTGTTTACTTATTTACTTATCCTCACAGATTTTATTTTGTAACAGGACCTAGAGTTTTAAGTTTATCAATGTGCATGTTTTAATCTACAAATCCACTGGTTTTCTAAATAAGGTGTATGAAGGATGTGTTTTGATAGCTTCAAACTGTTGTAACCTGTTAACTATAATAGGTTGAGGAAGGAAAGGATTTTATTTGTGCAGTGCTGCTCTATGTTCCAAGCTTCAGGGCCTAAAGTTCAAAATCCCTTTTGTGGTATTAATTGCATATGGAAAGTTGAATGTGATTTTTGGAGGCCTTTAAGATAATTGCCTGTGTCCAGCCCCCCCCCCCCCAAAGTAATTTTTAAAGCTTGTTAAATGTTCGTGTGTGGAAAAGGAAAGCAGACTAGTCTAGTCACTCTCTCACATTTTGAGTTCTTGTCTGAGGCAGTTCTGGGGCACTGTACTTATTTATTTTTACTGCTGATGTTGAGCACCAAAGCATAGAGAAATTACAGTGTGAGCAACACCTCTTGGCCATGTCAGTAAGTTGCTAGGGCACTGCTTCAAGAAAATCTGTAAATGGTTGCTCTTTTCCTTGGTGCAACAGCAGGACAACACCTGGGGAAGCTCCTAGAACAGCAGTTGGGTGGGCTTCCTTGGCAAGCTGTGCCACCAGGCTGCCTGATATAAGCTTGGCTTGACCTGTTTGCGATAGCTGCTGCCTCGCTGTCTGGTCCTAGGCGTCCCTGAGGTGGCATGCTGGGCCAGTCTCAGCTGTCTGTATATGGGAGCCTTTCTGTTCTCCACGGAGGGTTCTAAGTGCTTAATGAATACACTGTGTCTGCAGATTTAATGGACTCTGTTGCTGCATTTTGAAAGCTGATTATATGTTTGTCTTTGCTGCCCTATTCAACTGAATTGTTCATTGTCTTATTTCTATTATGTTGCTTTGAGCTGCTTCTTGGCCACTGTTATCGTAGTTTTGTGTTTACGTGCTGCTTCTGATGTTTTTGATTTCTGTGACTCTATTAAATTGAATTTCGTCTCAGCAAGAAGGATGATAGATTCCCTAGTGGATTTGATCATGTGTTTGTTCGTATTATCAATGTTTATGAATAATATTTTCAAATAGGATCCAGTTCTTAAGTATAAATTGTGCTTAGTTTAAGAGAATGCACAAATTGCTACACAAATCTTTATTGATTATTAGAATGCGCACTAATTTTCCCTTATTCTTGGCATCGATTTAGCTGATTCTAGAAGTTTTTGCAAGGATAGAAGTTGATTAGAGTTCATCAATATCAGTGTAGCTAAACTGCATTCTAGCAAGGTGATCAAAGTTCAGCTACAAGTTTCTGAACAAAAAAGGGCTTAATGTAGTTATGTTGCTAGAAAGACAGGGAAAACAGTGAGTTCACCTTTTAATGGTACAACTTTCTTCTAAACTTTCAAGTTACCAGCAGGCACATACAGAGAGCAGTTTTGCATTTAGAGTTAGTTGCCTGAAATGAGATACTGAAAAAAATAAATAAATCCCTTCCAACAAACACCAAAACACACACTTGTTTTCTTTGTTGGTAAAGAAAAAAAAGACAATATTTTCTAAAATTCCTGAGTTTTATGTTTATCAGCAAAATAATTGCACCAGAAAAAGTCCACAAAGAGAGAATTTTCTCTTCTTCAGCCTTCTTTTTACAATGATTTACAAATTAAGAATTACAAAGAATGTGCTGAAGTACTGAAATGGTAGAAAACATGCATATCAGCTAAGTATTATTGCTCTGAACTTACCTGATAAGATCAAAATATTTTTGATTCATACTTACAGAGCTTCTTGACTAAAGAATATTTCAATAGTGGCTACAAGGAAGGAGAACATGAGGAAGTAGCTTATAGAGGATGCCAAAGAAAGATTAATACAAATGGGTCAGTAAGGGCAGGTTGACTGATTACTTCTGCCTTACTAGAAGATACATGTGAGCTATGATATATTGATAGAGCGCCAAAAGAGGGCAGAAAAAAGGTGTACTTGCTTGCACTGTGCTTCCAAAGGATGTGAGCCTTGTCATGACCAGTATTGAGAATCTTCTATTGTTTTTTTCTGGTGAAGATTTATGATTTTTTTTTCCCCAATATTATGACAGATTGTCTGCAGAAGTGCAAAACCTATAGAAATGGCAGTGAAGGAAAAGATCTCAATGTTCTGCCATGTGGAGCCAGAGCAGGTCAGTACTTTACTCATCGTGAAATATGTGGGACAGTATACAAAGATATCTGTGTATTTCTCTTTTCCACTCTAGACTATTCCATTAATATGTAATCGATTTTCCAATTTTTTCTGTTTGTCATGTACGCTATAGCACTTTAACATATAAAAATTCCCAATATTTTAAAAGTTTCATATGTTGAGCAATTGTTAACAATTTAAATGTGTGTTATATTTGATATAATTACTGAATGGATTGTAAAAAGTTAATAAAAGGAATCAATTTTTAATGCATGGTTAATTGCTATACATTGGCATGAAAACCATACACTTTCATAGATTGTTTGAAGCTATGGTTGGTTATTGTCCATAAATCATATCAGGTGGTTATAAAAATGGATGATCGAAGCCATCTCTAAAGCTAGGGATTTTACTTATGTCCATAGATCATCACAGCCACATGAACGCTCTTACTGGAATAATATGTAATAGGTTATTCATGTCCTTTAACATGCTTAGAACATCTACAGTGTAGTTATATATATCCTTTTGTAATTCAAGTATTTTGGCCTTAATTGTGGTGATTGAAATTCAAATATTAATTTTGATAAATCAAATGCTCTTTAATTTTTTTCCAAGTGAGATCACGTTATTCCTCGAAGTAATGGATAATATTAAAGGGATAACAGATGCCAACGGTGATGCTGTATTTCACATACGTATTACTGTTGACCTGTCTGCAGTTGTATAAGAAAAAGCTTTTTGTTGTAAAATCTCAGATAAAGACATACAGCATAGCATGGTCATTACTTTATCCCACTTGCTGCCTGCCACCTTACTGTTAGTGGAAGGCAAAGCACTTGAACTATCTTCATGGAAAATCCTTTGTGGTTTCTCCCCAGCCCGAGAGAGGCAACTGGAAATTGAATCAAACAGAAATTGTGTGTGCTTCTCTGGCAGCATCAGGTCCCTCAGGTAGCAGCACAATCCTCTGGCATATCACCCATTCTTCCCAGTTCTGTGTTCTCTCCAAACTTGCTGAGGCTGTGCTATTCCGTATGATCCAGTTCATTAATGCGGGTGTTAAACAGGAGAGGACCAGTATTGACCCTCTGGAGTATGCTGCTAGTTACTGGCCTCCAAGTAGACTTTGCACCACTGGCACCACCCTCTATGCTCAGCCATTTGTCCAGTTTCTAATCCACCCCTCTGCTCACCCATCCTGTACATCAACAATGTATCTGTGCGGATCTTGTGGGAGATGGTGTCAAGGACCTTACTGAAGTTTAGGTAGACAACATCCATAGTTCTTCCCTCATCTCCCAAGGCACCTGTTTCATCGTAGAAGCTTATTGAGTTGATCAAGTGTGATTTCCTCCTGGAGAATCCATGATGACCACTCCTGATTTCTTGTTCTCATGTGCCTGGAAATGTTTTCCAGGATTGCCATAACTAGTCCTCGAAAACCACATGCTACTTTGTCCACAGTCTTCCTCAAAGTGTATTTTTTATTTTGCTTTTATCAGGTGACTCTTCCCTCCTCAGTTCAAAGGATATACTACCAAAACACAAGCAGTGTCTTTGGCCTGTTTTGGGGCTGTCACAGTAAACAAGACTAATCTAGAGCAGCTAGTGGTTCTTTTTAATGTTATATGCTTAAGTTGGTAGCTGATAGCTACCAATTTTGGAAGACCAGTTGGATAAGCCTTTCTCCCACTGTAGGAGGGCAGTGATGACGCTTTTTTGCTGTTGAATGGGCACACAGAAGTGTGAAGTAGCATGCATGTTTACATACATACGTGGTGAATGCAAGTAAGTCAAGGATCACTAACTAAGCAAAGTAGCTTTTACTTCTTGTGTACACTTGTACTCAGGATTCCAAACTCTACTCTCTTGCATAAGCCAAGTGCAGTGAACTTAACTACAAGCAGTTTGGACACTGCTTATAAATATGCATTCTTAATTAAATGGCCCTTGAATGGGCTATACTCATCATTTAATTACATAATCCAATTCACTAAGAGAATTCTTTTAGGAAACTTCATCACATTGTGCTTGGGTCTGTTTTGTGAGGTTTCATGTTCTTTCTTTCCCAGTTAATATTCCCCAAGTTTGTGAGAGAGGAAGAAAAAGGGTTTGTTAGCAAGCATGACTGCTTGTGGGGCCAGAAGTTTGTATTAAAACTGATGTGTCAGCTGACTTGCCAATAGCCTTGACAAGCTGTATTTATATGATGATGTAATGAAGAAGTGAAATTAATTTTTATATGTTGGTTAACTTTTTCCTAGTAGATTTAGTGGAACCTTAAATATTGGCTGTACTATGTTTTTCCGTTGGGATAGAGTTAATTTTCTTCATAATAGCTCATATAGTGCTGTGTTTTGGATTTGTTATGAAAATTGTGCTGATAACACAAGGTTATTTTAGTTATTGCTGAGCAGTGCTAGCACAGAGTCAAGGTCTTTCCTACTTCTGATGCTGCCAGTGAGTAGGCTGGGTGTGTGCAAGAAGTTGGGAAGGGACATAGCCAGGACAGATGACCCAAACTGATCAAAGGGATATTCCCTAGCATATGATGTCATGCTCCATGAAGGTGATAAAAGGGCTGAAGCACCTCTTCTGTGAAGACAGGCTGAGGGAGCTGGGGTTGTTCAGCCTGGAGAAGAGAAGGCTCAGGGCAGACCTTATAGTGTCCCCCTAGTACCTAAAGGGGGCGTACAGGGAAGCTGGGGACGGACTCATTGTCAGGGAGTGTAGGGAGTAATGACTTTAAAATACATGACAAGGAGTAATGGCTTTAAAATAAAATAGGGTTGACTTAGATTAGATATAAGGAATAAATTCTTTACTGTGGGTGTGGAACAGGCTGCCCAGAGAAGCTGTTGATGCCCCATCCCTGGAGGTGTTCAAGGCCAGGCTGGATGGGGCTTTGGGCAACCTATTCTAGTGGGAGGTGTCCCTGTCCATGGCATGGGGGTTGGAACTGGGTGGTCTTTAAGGAACCTTCAAGCCCAAATCATTCTGTGTTTCTGTGATTTTAATGAAAGCTGGGGGAACGAAGGACAGACATACAAAATTTTGGCATCTGTATTCCCAAATAACAGTGTGTGATGAAACCTTGCTTTATTGGAAGTAGCTAAACATGTGCCTGCTGATGGGAAGTAGTGAAATAATTCTTATTTTGCTTTGCTTGTACCTTTTGCTTTACCTGTTAAACTGTCTTTATTTCAGCCCAGGAGTTTTCTCACTTTTAGTGTTGCAGTTCTCTCTCCTCATCCTGCTGGGGTGAGTGAATAAGCAGCCGTGTGGTGCTTAGCTGTCTGTTGGGGTTACATCACACTACAACAACTGTCCTGCTTGTTAAAAAGAAAAGAACTTAAAAAGTAAAATGTATGTAGAATACATTTTATTTTGTATACTACATACATTTTGTATGTTTACCATGAGAAATATTTAGATAAGACTTTTGTATTGTGCTTTTTTTTATTAGGTCATATTTATCCATGATGTTTCTTCCACTTACCGAGTACCAATTCTGTTGGAGGAGCAAGGCATCATTAAGTACTTTAAACAGAGGTTAAATTTACCCATTGATGACCAGCCAAGTGATCTGCTAATGAAATGGAGGAAAATGGCTGACAGGTATTTTAACTCCTGCTGCTCTTTCAAAAGCAGAAGTGTTCAAGTTAGGTTCTTAGCTGCACTGAAGTGACCAAATTGGGCTTGGGTCAGGAACATACTGCTACTGCAACACCTGTGAAAGCTCTGGGTTTAAAAGCATTGACACTTTGGGGATTTTAGAAGGTGTTTTGCAAAGTTTAAAAAAAAGGTGAACATTGTGAAAATTGGGGTAATAACTTGATATCTCGTTTTTGTCAGATATGAAAGGTTGCTGAAGGTGTGTTCCATAGCTCTCGTTGGCAAGTATACAAAACTAAGTGATTGCTATGCATCTGTTTTCAAGGCTCTGGAACACTCTGCGCTGGCAATTAATCACAAACTGGATTTAATGGTGAGGATATTTCTGGATTTTGCTTTCAGGGATACTTTGAATATGCTTTACTAGTTTTTGTCATATAAAGTCATTTTAATTCATATGGAAATTAGAAAATGAATTGTGTATAAATACAGACTAGCTAAAAGTTTATTTTTTAAAAAAAAGACTTGTTTAGAGATCAGTTTATTTGGAACTAGGATTATCTGAAAGGAACACTGACTACTCAAAACTGGATCCGATGATTTGATTTACTCTCAAAGGTGGGTTTTATTTGTTCTAGTGAGACCACTTATTGTTTTAAGAAGATTAGTTTAAGGAAGACAAAAGAAAATCAGTAAATTGAAAAGCAATTGACTTTATTTTTAAAATCTGGTGTCAGAAGCTGATGTTCTTCATTGCAGTTAATTTCTTGAGAGCAATCAAATTTATCTTCAGGATTCTAGTGACATCCGAATTAGGTCAGTTTCTCCAAGAAAGTAGTTGCTCTATTTACAATAAAGTACTATTAGAGACAAATAAGACATATGTCTTGTTTTAATGAGAACAGGAAGTTGAACTACGTGGAAATCTGTTACCAGCTTCCTATTCCTGGAACTATCCATTTCCATTGCAGAGTTTTGCTGCTTGGGGTGGAAAGGTGTGGGGTGGAGAACTGGTGTGAAGGTGTCTATTAGTATCAGTTAAGGGGTACAGAGGATGTTTTGGCATCTTGCAGTAGCAAAATTGTAGTAAATAGTCATAAAGTATCAGCACTGACATGCTGCTGCAGTGTGATTCCCGAAGTGATGCAAGATATTGATTAAAGGGGGCAGCTGAAATATTTTTTCTGTAGGTAATCTGTATAGAGAGAAGTGGGTTAATTTGTTGTCTGGGGAGGTGGAAGGAAGCACTTCTTACAGAAAAGGGGAAAAAAACCCATAGAAAATGTTTAGTGTCTTTGTTAATGATATGGAAGATGGGGTGGAGTGCACCTTCAGCAAGTCTGAAGGTGATACCAAACTGAGGGAGGAGCTCTTGGTATGGTGGAAGGCAGGGCTGCTATTCAAAGGGACCTTAGGCCATAGGAATGGTCTGATGGGAGCCTCATGAAATTCAACAAAGGCAAATGCAAAGTCCTGCATGTGACGTTGAGTAACCCCATCTGAGTACAGAATGGGTTCTGGCTGGCTAAAAAGTGGCTTGCAGAAAAGGATCTGGAGATCCTGGTAGATGAGCCCAAGCCAACAATGTGCCCTTGTTGTAAAGGAAGTCAACATCCAAGGCCATGCTAAGCAAGAGTGTAGCAGGCAAGTTGAGGGTAGTCACTATTCGCTTCTATGCAGTACTTCTGAGACCGCATTTGGAGCATGGTATTCAGCTTTTGTCTCCCCGGTACAAGATGTGCACTGCACAGTGAAGTGAATCTGAGGTAGGGCCACCAAGATTAGAGGGATGAAGTGCACAGCAGATGAAGAGAGGCTGAGAAGTTAAGGTTGTTCAGTCTGGAGAAGGAAAACTCTAGGCAATCTTTATATCAGTTCAATTTCTCCATACACAAATGGGTACTGCCATTTCTGATAATATGGCTTTTATAGTGGGTAGAGACTATGCTATTCTCAGAAAGACTTTGGTAAAACCAAGAACTAAACTCTGATACTTCATTTCTCTAATGCAGTATATAACCACCCCAGTCATTTGCTCTAGTGGTACCTAAGGGGCCATGCTTAATACTGGCAGTAGTGATCCTAATGCAAGACCTCTGTTAGGACAGACATAACTTCCTCTCTACAGTTGATGCTTTCAAATCAGTCCACAGGAGTACCTTTCTTGTGGGCTAGACAATGCAGGTTTATCCAGTCTTAAGGTAAGATTAGTTAAAAAGTGGCACCCAAAGCTAGTAAAGTGAACGTGCTGACTACATTTCATTTGGATATCAGGATAAGGTCAGCACCAACCTTTGTGTGGTGCCCTGATGTCTATAGGAAGAAAAGCTGGGTATACAGCTGTAGAGCACTCTAGCAAGTCCACTTACCTGGAGGGTAGGAAAAATAGGACTGGAGGTGGTCAGAGCTCTGGAGTTGCATGCAAAGAAAGAAGCAAATATTTGGGTCTTCATTGTAGTAGTTAAAGGCTTACTCAGAAATTCGTTGAAACTCTTTGTAGCCATATTATATACAAGTTGGTTATATAGTGTGTGTTGCTCTTTCTGTGGAAGAAAATACTATTTTACTACATATTTTTCTTTTGTAGTACATAGATTCAACAGAACTTGAACGTTCTACAGAAGTGGAGAACTCAGTGAAATATCACCAGGCATGGCACAAGCTATGCAAAGCAGAGTAAGTGGCATTGGGTATTTTGTGTCCCAAATGTAGAGTGTGATATTTACTTGATGTGATGAAAAATTCTTCAGTGAATCATTTCTTAGTGAATCCAAAATTTTTTATGGAAGCAGATACATTTGCATGGTTGGTGACAAGTCTTAGACATAGCAAATTATAGTATCAGCCTATATCCTTAAACTCTATAGTAATCCCTTTGGACAAGTTACAGTTGTTTTTTTTTCTTTTTTTTTGGATAGGTAGACAAAATAGTTTCCTTACAGTGCAGTCAGTTGTCAATGGTTTTCTTTCTCAACATGCATCATGGTGTAAAGAAGTTAGATAAAAGCTTAGTAAATGCCTATGGTACTCTGAAAACCCCTTTGTTAAGAGTTGTTGGGCTTTCAATTTGTACTTGTAAAGGCATGTGATTTATTGTCCTGAACACAGTCGTTTCTTCAGTATTACTTAGTACCCATAAAGTTTAAGTTTTACGATCCTGAAGTTGTGACTACGTATCTAGTTTATTCAAGCAATATATATTTAAGCAGTGAGAATTTCACTGTGAAGTATGGGGTAAGATGAGACAGGCTGTGTAGATGAGACAAATGTCCAAATTTAAATTCTGTGTATCTGGAATGATAATACAAAACATGCCTTTCATGCACTGTAACTGCTTGCTCTTCTGTAACCTAAAAAGTCTTTTTAAACTTGTGCGGACTTCTTTTGCTGGCTTGATTCTATGTGTTGAATGTTATATATATGGCTTTCATTGCAGTGGCATTCTTGTCCCAGGAGGGTTTGGAATTAGAGGAACAGAAGGCAAACTCCAAGCTATCTCCTGGGCAAGAACAAAGAAAAAACCTTTCCTTGGTAAGATCATTAGTGTCAGAATTTACTGTGTTTTGGAGGTATATAGAAAGCTAATTGATTTGATATCTTAAAACAAACAAACAAAAAACTTTGTAGACTACCTCCTCTACCCCCTCCACCCCAGCATGTGGTTGGTGAGTAAAAAGAACAATAGAATCAGTATAATACTAGGGAGGGATCCTGTCTTGGGGAAGTATGTGTGCTGTTGTGAATATCTGCCTTGGAAATAATGCCCTGGCTCACTATAGCTGCTGTATGAGTAAAGAAGAGAAAGACCATTCCCACTCCAAAGGCTTTATTTCGTATGTTCACATTTTATTTAGAGAATCCGTGCTTTTCGATTAAATTAAATCACAATCATTGTACTTATCAATTCATGGGCAGAAAACATAGCTGCCTTTAGAGACATTTGCTATATCAAATATTTTTTGTTGATACACTGATCTATCTTATTACAGTAATGTTTAAAGATGCCATCTGGCACACAAGCTAGATGCTTTTTCTGTAAATGCCTTTGAAGTTTTGGTTCCTGCCCTAGATTTCTTACAATTTTATAAGTAACAGCGACTACTTTGGCTAGTTGCTAAAGTAAAATTTGATTCTGGACATAAGCAAAAGCTTTAGCTTTTGTTTATCTTTACAGTAATTATTAGCAAAATAGATGGGAGAGGAAAAAAAAAAGCAACATTTTTTTTTTGCACAGGATTGTTTCATATATATTCACAATATGCCAAGTTTTGAAAAATCTGTTTTACCTTGAATTGCTGTTTTTGTTTTATCTTTTTGGTAAGTCTGTGTGTATACACTGGGTACCAAGATTTCTAAACAAGCAGTCACATTTAAGATGAAAAGAGCAAGTGCTTTTGCTGTCCTGCTCTTCGTGCTGTTAAATTCTGTGGTTTTGTTTCTCTTTTAGGAGTTTGCCTGGGAATGCAATTAGCAGTTGTGGAATTTGCAAGAAACTGTTTAAATTGGAAAGGTAAGCTCAGAATGCTAGTGTGGATATGATTTGCTTAGATGAAATATTATTCTGTATCTGAAATACTTATCTATTATTAGATATATTATATAGATCCTATGACTATTCTTAGCTCAAACTGGTCATGTTGCAAGAGTTAAACACCCTGTGCACAAAGGAGTAGGATCCATGCCAATTGCCTGAAACCTGCTTCCTAACTTAAAGAATGTAGCAGAAAGTGTGCTCATGGTTCACCCCGTGTAGTCTTTCTCTAGAGAGCACAGGTGGTGATGAGTAAAAGGTGAGAAGGGATTTTCTCTCTTTTGCATACTTACTTAGGATAGCCAAACCGTAGCCCTTGCAGTAGTAATTTGGAGAGATTTAGCTCACCAGCACTATTACCACTAAGAACTGAGAGGAAGAAAGTTTGGGAAGTAGAAAATGGAGTATGTGTGACTGAAGCCCTATAATCCCTATGGCTGTTTCAAAAGTGGTGCAATATGTATTTCAACACATGGGATTGTAGCTAAGATGCAGGCAAGTCCTAAAATGACGCAGAGCTGTTCTTGTGAGCCTGTAGTGTGTGTAGATCAACATTAATGTATTGAGTTTGTTTTGAACTTCTTTTCAGATGCAAATTCTGTAGAATTTGACCCAGACACAACAAACCCTGTTGTAAGTACTGGTTTTTCTCCTACTTGTGTTTTGCGAGCATAAATCTTAGGTTAAAAAGAGAGTTAACCGTGTAAGTTAAGGTTTATCTATATTTTTACGTGGTAGGACATGAAAAGGTGTCCATTGTCCTTATTCAGTATTGCTTAAAAAGGTATTTAATTTTTGAATAGTCCCTTGTCTTCACCTGCTAACTTCTCAAATTTGCTGTGGCGTTGTTTTTGTAAGTTGTGTAATGGATTCCTTGGCTGTAGACAAGTGGGAGTAGACAATGTTTAAATTGGCTTTACTAGTAATAAAATATAAAGGGAAGCTGGAAAGTGTAGCACAAAGCTATTACCAGAATATAATTTTATATATAAAAAAAATAGATTATATGGAAAGCTGTTGATTTTTTTTTTCTTTCCTTTATTTGAATAGGATTAAATAGGCACTCCTTCCCCCTGCCCCCACCCCCAAAATGCATATGCATCTCACAGTTCTCTGCTTTAGAAAAATTGCAGTGGTGTAAATAAGACAGGGTTCTCAGTATAGGATGCAAATGGTAGAATTTTAGAGTGGAGTTCCTACAGATATATTCTAGGTCAGGAGAGTATGGTATTGTGTGACCATAATGTTAAAGCTTACAAATGATCAGTAAGAAAGGGTTTGTAAGAAAAACAACAGAGAAGTACATGTAGGAAAGCACTACCTTAGTGCAGGACCTTTTAGTGGATTTGGTGGATGGCTCATTGTGCAGAAACAAGTAGCTTATTAACTTCCTTCACAATAATTTTGTTGGGATATGTAAGTAAAATGTATCTATATTCACATCTGCTTAGTCTGTAACACGCAAATAGCTTTTTTTTTTTTTTTTTTTTTTTTTTTTAAGTATTTGACCTGTTTGTCAATATTGCTTATACACATTGTAGGGATAATCTAGTCTGAACTTTTGAAGGTAGATTAGAGACCTTCAGAGTTCCAGTCAGTGTGAGACTTTGTGGTGTCTGGACATGTACTTAGGTGAATAAACAATGTATTTCGCGTCAAATCTGTGTTTGGCATCATAACAGGTCTCTTCCTTCAACCTTCTTGAATGTACTTTTTCTCCATTTCATAATAGCAATGTGTTGTAAAATGTGGAAATTGTTGAAAGTTAACTGTAAATATTTTGGGAAGCAAGAATGATAGTACAGGAGATTGATTCTGGGACATCTTTGTTTCTAGGGCGTTTCAGTGATAGTTTTAAATGTACAGGATACTTTGCTATTGTCAGGTAGAATGAGGCAGCGTTTCTTCTTCTATTGCCACTTTATGTTTATTCAACTGCCAAAAGTGATGTTTGCAGTTTTTCAAGGTACTTTTATTTTTCTAGTAATTCAAGCATCTTTGCTTCAGTAGGCAATGGCTGTAACGCTATTAGAGATGATTTTTTTTTTCTTTAAATAACTGATAGACCTTGATTTTGTGTCTGAATCAGCATCAGCTTCTTTGACAGAAGTTTGAATCTAATCTGGATCATAAAACTGGCTATTTGGACTCATGATTATCTTTTCATTATTAACTGTGATCTGCTGTAATTGCAGAAAGTTTCTGTTCTTCCACTCTAATAAACTGTTGGTTTTGGATAAGTACTGGCTAAGTTCTGATGCTGAGAGCTGGTGGTCTAAACTAGGCTTGTAGGTCTCCCCAATAAAATTCAGCAGAAAATGCTTGCAAATAACAAGTTGTTCAGTTTTGTCCACCTGCCCTACTTCACTGCATGATGGGAGATCCTTCTGCCTGGTGTAAAGTAGGCTCCTAATTTTCAGGGACCTGAAGTCATGGAGTGTGGGATACATCTTACGTAACTTCAGATGACTGCATTTCAGCTGGTCACCTCAGGTACCTTTTCAGGATGCAGTCAGATCATGTATTTCAGAAGCCTGCTTCAGGAAGGGGTGAGTCACCCATTGGAATTGCCTGTTTGTCTCCAGTGTTCTGAGGATTGTTCACGGTAGGTGGCTCAGATGCAGAGCTCAACATTTAGCCGAAGTCTGCAACATGGAAGCTTGTCTGCCGCAGCCCTACTGGCAGTTTTTTCTGTTATAGAAATGGTAGCATTTATCAGTGCTATATAACATCTTGGCATCTCAGTTCTGGGTGAGAAACAGCTGTGAGTCATCCGTATATCATTGCACTGGAGGAATCTTGCACTATCAATAATTATAACTGAAATAATCTGTTTTAGTAGAGTCTGCCTAATGCTAAAAAAACTTAAGATATTCTATATAATAACAAATCAATAAAAATGATTGGAAGGGAAGCAGATCAGTAGAGTTTGTGAACTGCTGAGCTGATGTAGCTGTTTCATTATCTATGAAAGTTGGGAACACCATATCAGCACTAATAGTATCTTGTGATGCCACTGTGATTTAGCTGAGTCCTAATTTAGAACCAAAGCAGTGTACTTTTCTTTTGATTCCTGCTCCTTTGGAAACTGAAGGGGGAGAAGAAAGGCACTAGTGAGTCATCAGTTCTATTTTCTTTAATTTTTTAGAAGAAGAAAAAGAAGGAAAAATGTAGTTCCTCAGGAGAACTGAGGGGCATCCATAAAATATGCATCTCCCTACATCCCTTCTCAGTTTAAGCATTCAAATACTCAAAACAGTTCTTACCAAAGTAGGTATTTTCTTCTAAAGTACACATGAAGTGTTAGTGTACTTTGAAAGTCAAAAGGCAAATAAGGAAGCGATCTCTAAAGTTTTTGTTCTCATTCACCTATTTCTCTGCATCTCTGAAAACAGGATTTTTTTTTCAATTAAAAATAAAAACTGAGATTGTCAAGTTATAATGTAACTTGCAATTAGGCTTGCAAAGGAAATACAAGTGACTGAAATGGCGAGAAATGATTATTGTTAACTCTGTCTCTCAATTAAAATGGCACGAGTTGTACTATAGATGAGCATTGTATGAATAACAAGTCCTGAACACTGTTACTTTTAATGTTTTTAGTGTGAGACAATGTATCTTGTTATGTTTTGAACAATAATGTACAACTGAACATGCAAATGCAGTGTTGCATGCAATGCTGAATAGCTGTTTCATTTCATCTATTCATCCATTTCTTATTCTATTGACTACCACTACAACAATATTACTCAGCCTGGGCTCTGCAAAATAACCTGTGAGAAAAAAAAATCCTAAAGCTGAATTTCGATGTGGTGAAAACTTAGAGGAAATGCCAGCTAGAATTTGAAAATATTAATAGTCTGCGGGTTATAAGTTGTATTTGAGAGATTTGAAATAATTTGATATTTTTCATTTTTCACGATACTTTCATTTTAAGTTTAAATTTGAGATGTTTACTCTGAAGAAAAAAGAACAATCGTAGAGTCACAGAATCATTAAGGTTTGAAAAGACCTCCAAGATCACCTGGTCCAACCATCCCCCTACCACCAATGTCATCCACTAAACCATGTCCCTAAGCAGCAGGTCCAACCTCTCTTGAAATGCCCCCAGGGACAGTGACTCCACCACCTCCCCGGGCAACCCATTCCAATGCCTGACTGCTCTTTCTGAGAAGAAATGCTTGCTAATTTCCAACCTAAACTTCCCCTGGTGCAATTTGAGGCCATTCCCTGTAGTCATATCGCTAGTTACCTACGAGGAAAGGCTGACCCCCAGCTCCCCACACCTTCCTTTCAGGTACCTGTAGAGAGCAGTGAGGTCTATCCTGATCCTCCTCTTCTCCAGACTAAACAACCCCAATTCCCTCAGCTGTTCCTCATAGGACTTATGCTCCAGGCCCTTCACCAGCTCCATAGCCCTTTTCTTCAGGGCCTCGATGTCCTTCTTGTAGAGAGGGGCCCAAAGCTGAACACAGCACTCAAGGTGCAGCCTCACCAGAGCAGAGTACAAGGGGATGATCACCTCCCTGGCCCTGCTGGCTGCGCTATTCCTGATACAAGCCAGGATGCTGTTGGCCTTCTTGGCCACCTGGGCACACTGCTGGCTCATGTTCAGGCGAGCATTGACCAGCACACCCAGATCCTTTTCCACTGCACAGCTTTTGAGCCACTCTGCCCCAGGCCTGTAGTGCTGCATGGGGTTGTTGTGGCCAAAGTGCAGGACCCAGCACTTAGCCAAGTTGAACCTCATCCCATTGGCCTCTGTGCCTTGACCCATCCTGTCCTGGTCCCTCTGCAGGGCCTTCCTGCCCTCCAACAGATCTATACTTCCCCCCAACTTGGTGTCATCTGCAAACTTATTGAGGGTGCATTTTAATTCCCTTGTCCAAGTCATCAGTAAAGATATTAAAGAGGATGGGCCCCATCACCAGTCCCTGGGGAACACCACTGATAACCAATTGCCAGCTCCGTTCACCACCTCCCTCTGTGCCTGGCCATCCAGCCAGTTTTTAACCCAGTGAAGTGTGTACCTGTCCAAGCCATGGGCTGCCAGCTTCTCCAGGAGAATACTGTGGGAGACTGTATGGGCTGTGCTGAAGCCTAGGTAGACCACGTCAACAACCTGTGCCTCAACCCTGCAGTGGGTCACCCAGTTGTAGAAGGAGATGAGGTTGGTCAGGCAGAACTTGCCTTTCATGAGCCAATGCTGACTGGGCCCGATTCCCCTGTTGTCCTGCACATGCTGTGTGATTACAAACAAGGTGGCCTGTTCTGTGATCTTTTGATATAGGAGTTTTTATCTGTTTCCACCAGACCATGCATTTTGCATTAAATTACCATGTTAAGTTTTTAGGTTCAGTTTTTCTTCAATACAGGTTTGATTTCATTAAGAAAAATTAAGTGTAAGAGCACTGATCGGTCCTGCACATTTCTTTTCTCATCTTGGTTGATTATTTATAGGTCGTGTTCCAATTATATTTTCCTAAGCTTTCTGTTCTGCTTTCCAGCCCTTTGGATAATGACAATAGACAATAATAATGACAATAAATTATTATTGTTCTTTGCCGGAAAGGTAGCTCTTTAGAAAAGTAATGCACTGACATCAGAGTAGTGCTTAGCATGAGTTTTGCATT